AAAAGAGAGAGAGAAGGAGGAGAGAGAGAGAGAAAAAGAGAGAGAGGAGGGAGGTAAAGAGAGAGGGAAGGAGGCAGAGAGAGAGGGAAGGAAGAAGAGTGGGAGGGAGGGAGGGAGCGAGAAGGAGAAAGAGAGAGAATACGAATGAATCACTGCTGATAACAGGGGTGAGAAATGTCAGCAAGGAAAATGTATTCAGTGAACATCAAACAAGACCCTAAGGATGGAAAAGGAGTCCTGTGCAGTTACATGAATTGCATAACTAAAGGTGGAAAATATCACTGAGAGTAAAACAAATTCATTTTGTAAACATTATCTGTCTCTCTTCACTGTCCTCTACATTTTTCTCTAGTGTTCTTTACATACTTTAGTTCTACAGTAACTGGGACATTGTTGCAATATTATTTACTGTTTTAATACATGTAACTTAGGCCATAAAATAACATTTTAGTTTCTTTTAGAGAGACCTCTAAAGTTTGTTTGCATCCATTGTTTTTCTCCCTCCCCTCCCCTTCACTCCTCTCTCCTTTCTTTCCCTCCCCTCCCCTCCACTTCTCTCTCTCTCTCTCCTTTTTTTCCCCCTCTCTCTTTCTATAATCTCAGCCCACACATTCACTCTTTTGATAGTTGGTAAGCCACAGCTTTGGCTGACATCAAAAGGAAATTAGACAATTGCCCAGGGACGCGTGGCATGGCATACTTGTCCTGTGTGTCTTTGGTTCTCAAAGGGATAGGGAGGGTCTCTATCTCCAGATTCTTCAACCTGTGGCCTGGTTTTAGAGAGACTGGATACCAGGAACTGACCTGCTCATTAATATAATGATCACTTCATGTGAGGAAAAGGTGTCTCCCTACTAGTGTTCTTATTTACTGTAAAATTATAATTTCTTGATACTACAAAAAAAAAGGTGTTAACCCTAAAATATGCCTTTATGGCCCCAGAATGTTCATCCTTAATTTTTACTTCTATCAGGTTTGAATTAATTGTTCTATTAATGGTATTAGATTACCATTAAGAAAAGTAGGAGAAATTATTATACTCAAGTGTTTATAACAAATTGTCATTTTTATAGTTAGGACTTTTCACATTCAGGTAGCCTCATAAAGGTACATAAATTGTGTATGCTACAAATCTTATCAGTATTGCAGTAATTTTCAGTTCTTTCTGAATCTTGTATATTTATTTAAATTTACCAAGTTATTTTTTTTTTTTTTTTTTTTGGCAAGAGGCTTTGCTTAAAAAGTAGAGATTTGAAGGCTGGACAAAAACTAATTTTGATCTAGGATTATATACAACATGTCTTGCTCTGATTTGAACACATTTTATCTTAATTTTTGAGCTTGGTGTCTAGCAGTTGGCTTTGAACTTAGTCTAAACAAGTTGGAGTTTAATGAATAGTCCCCTCCACAAAAGCCAAATTTGAATTTCCATTTAAAAATCGTTAGATGCTCAGTGGTATTATTGACCACTTGCCATGCATTTTTATTTTTAAATATCTAGCCAGACATAGTGGCATACACCTGTAATTCCAGCACTAGGGAGGCTTAAGCAGAAGTATCACAAGTTTGAGGCCAGTTTTGGCTACCTAGTAAGCCACTGCCTCAAACAAACAAACACACAAACAAATAAACAGTTTATTCTACAAAGCACTAACTATTCAAGCTAACTGAATAACGTTAGGATTATACAGCCAGGGTTCTGCATCTGTGGGTTTATATTCGTGTAGTCAACTAACCACAGATCAAAAATATTTGAAAAAATTGTGTCTGTATTAACACGGATGGTACTGAACGGACCTTCTTCTTGTCACTAGCAACTATTTGCATTGTATTAAGCATTATAAGTAATTTAGAAATGATTTAAGGTATGGGGGGATGCACATAGATTATGTGCAAATTCTATACCATTTTATTCAATGGACCCGAGTATCTGTGGACTTGGGTATTCAAGCAGGGCCCTGGACCCAAACCACTCTGGACCCCAAGAGATGACTGTCTAGTATCATGTACTTCATAAAGCAACATTTTGGCAAATACTTTGCTGAGCACCAAACTAGTCCTAATTTAAGTGTCATGTTTAATTAAAATTCATACTTTATTTGTTTAACTTCATTATTTTTTTATAACTAAATTATATTTACTATAAATGTTGCCATAGGATAACAATCATGCAATACCTGTCCCCCATTTAGGGGCATTCAGTGGAACTTACCAGGGTCTATGAACTCAATGCCATTGCTGCTGAGGTTTAATTTCTTTAGCTCATGAACATCTTCAAATTCCTTGGGTCGAAGTTGGTTGATTTTATTGTATGACAAGTCAAGTTTAACAATATCTGGAGGGATGTTTTTAGGCACTTTCTTCAACTCTGGAAAAATTAATAGTATTTAGGTTATGTTCTTTTTTTTTTTTTGGTGTCACTGGAGTTTGAACTCAGGGTTTTGAGCTTGCTAGGCAGGTGCCCTACCACTTGCTCCCATTTTCTCTTCACTGTTAAGCCTGTGAGGTTGAAACACCAACTTTTCAAGATAAAAAGGTAAGGGACATTGAATGCTAAAGAAAACTGATATCTAGGATGTGCTAAATTCCAACAAAGCCTAGTGGATCAAGTGTATCACCCTAGAAGAAGGGGTCTCATTCTGTGCGGAGCTCTTCAGAGAAACTCCCCCAGCAGCAGGAAATCAGGAGGAAGATTCGCCTTAGTGCTGCTCAGGTGGCAACACATGAGGAGAAGCTGTGGGGCTCAACCCCGGCTCCCCAACAGTTATCAGGGAAGCTTTTGAAAAAAGAAAGCCAAAATGAAACCTCTAAGTCAAACTGCTGTGTGTCCCCTCCCATTCTCTTGCAACTCCTGAGGAGTTTTCACTATTAATTTTTGATATATTTATTACATTCTCATTTTATCTATCTTTAGGCTCCTTCTGCCAACAGATAAATTCATGTCTCTCTACTCTAAGATAGTAGGAAATCAAGGCTCACCTAATTTTATCTTTTACTACTACTATATTTCTATCTTTGAATCATGCTTTTCAAAACATGCAAACCATGTCTATTTTATATTTCAGTGCAATAGTTGCCCTTTCTCTTAATCTTTAGTAAATTATTTTGAGCAGGTCTTACTCAGTTTTAATCAGGGCAGAGGCAGCCTGTGAAGAGAAACAAACATGTTCCCATGAAGTAAAATTATAAGCAACAATAAAATGTCCAGATTAATTTACAACCAAGAAACAGAATGGCCTTCTGAAGAAACAGAAATTCTTAGAACTGGGAACTATAAAATATGTTTCTGAAAAGTGGTGTCCATTTATCCACAGTGCTCCTTTTGGTACAGAATAACTGAATTGAGGATAATCCCTACCAAATATTAATTAAAAAGACAACCACCTCTGAATTGATGATTTCTTAGCCCATGGTATATTCACAAACATAATGACTCAGGCTTATTTTCTGTTCTCTTCTTGATGGCTTAGAATCCATGGGATTAATGGGATTGTATTTGAAGTTCCTTTTTTAGTTTCCTTACTGCTGTTGAATTTGTTTTCCTTTTTTGATTCTATGTGTTTTGGTTCTAGGTCTCTAATAAATATTACCTAACAAGAACTTTGTGAGTTAAGTCCCATTATTATCCTCATTTTACAGATGGGGAAACTGAGGTGCAAAGAAGTTGGATAATTTACCCATAGTTACATGACTGTGATTTAAACAGAGATCTGCTTCCACCAGGATCTGTGCTTCTAACCACTGTGCTCTACTGCCTACCCATGTTACCTTTCTGTTTCATTTATATTTTTCATCTGTCTAGAATGCTCAGGCCTGACACAGACATGTATGTGGAGATAGAAGAGCAAATGGGGTAGAGTCAGTATATTTGAGTGGTCATGAAACCTTTCTGGCCCTATATTTAAAATGACATTTCCTTATGGTTAAGTGGATAAGAGTAACAATAGTAATTAATAATACCATTCCTTGTTTTCTTTTTTTTCAGTGGCAGTTATCACTATCAGACATAGCATACATTTTACTGATTTTTTTCTACATTTACTTCCTCTTCCCATGGAAGCTTTATGGGGAGGCTTACAACAGTGCCTAATATATCATAAAGAAGTGCTGTGTGGTAGACTGCCAACAATCCTTACTGCTGATTTTCCTGCCCTTGTGTGTGAACTAAACCTAGTGACTTGCTTCTAACCAGTGGAATGCAGCCAATGTGAGTGATGGGATGTTGCTTTAGTGATTAGATCTTGGGAGACTGTGGCTTTCATCTTGCTAGCAGATCTCTTTTTCTGGCTTTGATGAAGCAAGCTGCCATGTTAGAGAAGCCCTATGGCAAAGGATTAAAGTCATCCAAAAGCCAGCAAGAAACTGAGGCTCTAGCCCAAACAGCCCTGAAGCAACTCAGTCCCGCCAGCAACCATAGGAACTTGGAAGTGATCTTTCCCAGTTAAGCCTTCAGATGTGATTGCAGCCCTAAGTTCTGATCAACACTTTGACTGCAGCCTTGGTAGAGACCCTGAAGCACAGGACCTAGCCAAGTTACCTCCAGTTTCCTGGCCCACAGAAACTGAGATAAGAAGTGTGTCTTGCCTTAAGCTGCTAAATTTGGGGGTAGGTTACTATGTATCAATATATAACTTATACATACTAAATAATAAGCTCATTAAATGTTGAGTATAATTCAGTGATGTTGAGGCTTCTTATAATAAAGGTGCTTTGAAATTTGGGGGCAGTATTATTTCTGTCTTTTCATGAGACATTGTTTATTTAACCCACTATTATGTCTGCCATCACATTGAAAGGAGAGTGCTTTTATCTGAACTTAATATGGTGTTGCGGCAATGAGGCAGTTCTCCCTTCAGGACAGCAAGATCCTGTGTGAAGAGCTGTATCTTCTTGGGTATTACATGTAAACAAGAAGACGGAGATCCTATCAATATCTGAAAACCACAGATAATTGAAGTCTGAACAGAGATAAAAGAAATAATTTCTTGTCATTTGGAATTTGGAGAAAATATTGAGAATGGCTGTAGCATCTTCTTATAGAAGGCCCGAAAAAGCAGAACAGACATTGTTTTCAAAATACCCTGGATTTCACCTCTTCTCACTTCCTTTGCTGTTACCACATTGGCCCAATCCACTATCACTTCTCACGGTGGATTATTGGATTATTCCAATGGTGTGCTAAGCCTATGTGATCCTATTAAGGTACAAGTCAGATCATGTCACTTTTCCTGATAGGAGAATTCTCCAGTAGCTTTCCATCTTAATATGAATAAAAGCCAGAGTCCTCACTGAGGCCTTAGAAAGCCATTAAGAGCTATTGAGCATCCTTGTCACAAGAGGCAGTACCTCCTAGGTTTTAGAAAGCAGCCCTTTTTTATCAGGACTTGCTTGGTGAACTTATATCTGCTGGGCTGGACATGAGGGTTGACAGAGCAACCATTATAAGACAAGCTGAAAGTAGGTTAACCACAAATAAAAGGGTAGAAAAAATGTTCGTAAGAACATCCTGAAACACAGCTTCAGCCATGTGGCAGAACTGCGGATGCTGGAATATGAACATGAATTGTAGAACCAACCTTGAGGTTGTCAGTAACAGCCCTGGATAAAAATAGAGCCATAAGTAGTACCAGGAAATGCAAAGCAAAGCCTTTATGAGTATGGCTTAGAAAAATTGCTTTGTTGTATTGATGAGTAAAAACAATTCTTCAGATCTTTAACCTTAGTACTTGGATGGGAATTACAAACATCGATGCAAAGTATATTTACCTTTGATAAAGATTATAGAAATACATATTTCCTCATACTAAAAGCCAAATTACATCAATGTCTCCATTTCTTGACCAGGTGCCACATAGTATCCATATTTTGTATTTACTGCTACTCAGAATTCTTTTTTGGCAGTACTAGGGTTTGAATTCAAGGCTTCACACTTGCTAGGCAGGCACTCCACTGCTTGAGCCACACTTCCAGCCATTTTTACTTCAGTTACTTTGGGAGATAGAGTCTCCCTTTTTGCCTAGGCCAGCCTGGACCACAATTTTCCTGTTTTAAGCTTCCTGCAGTTGCTGAGATGACAGGCTAGTGCTACCATACCCAGCTTTTTTGTTGTTGTTGATACGGAGTTTCACAAACTTTTTTTGCTTAGGTTGGCCTGGAATCACTATCCTCCCAGTCTCAGCTTCCCATTTCAGATGTGCACCACCAAGCACAGCTATTGGTTGATATGGGGGTCTCACAAACTTTTTGCCCAGGCTGGCCTTGAACTGCAATCCTCCCCATCTCAGCCTCCCAAGTAGCTAGGATTACAGGCACGAGCCACTGGGCCCGACTACTGAAAAATCTGAGAGATACCTCAGCACACATTGTATTTGCTTGACTATTACTCCTTATAAGCCTTGCCTTCTCTGTCTAAACCTTACTGACTTTGAGGAGGAAATTGGGATGTTTTCTCCACCTAATTTCCCCCGTTTAGTAAGCTATCTGGGTTGTCAGCAACCTCAGAAATAATTTGAAGGCTTGGTAGTAGTAGTGAAAGAGACATAAGTGTCTCTGTTTATTGCAAATAAATTCTTAACTATTGTTCAGGCCAGGGGCAAAATTGTACCCTTAACTTCAGAAGCAGCTGGGGGCAATTTACCTACATAATTCTCTCTAGCCTGACTTTAGAAGTAAAAAATGACAAAAATTATTCTGGTAAATGTGAAGTTAAACGCAGTTTTAAAACTTCCTTTCATGTGTTCTTGGCAAATCCACTCACTTCAATATGGCATAAACGTGCCTTTCAACAAATCCCACATTTATTTCCTTTGAAAGACTAAGTTTTGTTGGCAAAGTGCTTTCCTCTTGGTGGATAAAACTATTATTTTTTTTCTTGCTTCCAGATGGTTAAGGCAAAAATAGTGATCTTTGAGGTCTCTGTGGTTGAACCGACACACGTGAGGCACCCTACACACATGATCTGACTCACTGTAAGACGTGGGCAAGGCTCAGCTCCCTAGCAGGAGGGATCTGTATTGCAGTTCTGCGCTAATGTGATCATGTATGTGGTGTTCTTGTACAGAGCCCAAGAGGAGGACTCAGTACTGCAGGAAGCACACAGAAGATATCAATTAATTCTTTTTGGCATAATATACCTACAGTCTTGAAGGATGAGATGGCATTGAATGGTCAGTGGCTTGAAAAGTGAATTACTGTCTGCCTGTGTGACTTTGAAGGGCAAGTTAACTTCTCTCTACCTCAGTTTCATCATTTATAAAATGAGGGCGATAACAGCACTTCTTTTAGGGTTGTGAGGAGTAAGTGTCAGTGTTATGTTCCACAGTCACAGGATTTACACTGCAGGTCTCACTCAGTCTCACTGGTAGGTCCTCTCTTGATGACATGCTTTAGACTTCTTTATTTCCCACATAGCATCTAACATGTGAAGCACAATAATCCAAAGTATTAGTACATTTCAGCAGGGAGCTAAAGATGAACATTACTGAGCATTTATTCTTAGCATTTGACATTTGTTACCCATTTATAGAATGGAAGAAGGAAAATTAGACTGGATGAGATTCAGGTTGTCATATTTGAATTCTAGCCAGGATTTTCAGCTTCTATGTCTTTTTATTTTTAAAGTGTGCTCAAATTACTGCTTTGAAAGAGCTAAGAAAGGCAGCTTAGTTACCACCAATCTAAGGCACATGGCCCTGTGCCAGGTGTTACCTAAGAGAGTCTAATAGACAAGACCTTTGCTTATAGGAATGGAAAATATAAATTAAGTTAGCAATCAAGACTATAACAAAAGATGAAGAGGAAATGGTCAAATGAATCTACACATTTATATACAACACAGTGAAAGCCAATTATATTGAAAAAAAGACAAAATTATTCTTCATCTTATAATCTAGAAATATAGGTTCTTTCTGGGTAGGGTGTGGCAGGGATGGAGAGAAAACCATTAACAGGTGCAGGGGTGCAGGCAGGTAGAAGGAATAATTTCTCATGTTTTACAGCACAGTAGGATAAGAATGGTTGAAAATCAGTTGTATATTTCAGAATAGTAAGTACAGGGGATTTTGAGTATTCTCAACATTAAGAAATGACAAATGTCTAAGGTGATAGATATGCCAATTACCTGATCTGATCACTGAACATTCTATACATGTACTGACATATCACACTGTCCTCATTAATATGTATAATTATGTGGGTCAATTAAAAATAAAGATATATTAAAAATGAAAGTACATGCTCTGATTACATAGTTATTAACATTTAGAGGAATTCAGGTTGTTCTTTAATGTATGGCCTAATGTCATGAAACTTTATTTATATTGTGTTCCAATAAATAATATGTGTATTTTTAAAGCAGAGGGGATTAATTTGTGGGACAGTTCTGAAAGAGTGTTTAGACAACAGCAAGTTGAGAAAAGAAGGCAATAAAAATATTTTATAACTGATGCTTGCCAAGGGAAAAAGAGAAAATTTATGGAAAAAAAAAGTCAAAAGCAGAAATAGCCTCATTGGGGGAGGGAATGGCCCAAGAGTATAAAGGAAATTAAAAAAAAAAAGACGTTTCCTAATATGTTATCCTTTCTTGGAGCACAGTGTAGTCTAGCTGTAGAAGTCTTACATTTTGCATAGATGATATTTTTTCTCAGATAATTAATGAGCTTAATCCTACTTAATTGTCTCTTTGACACCAATTCAGCAAGTGCAAATTCACTTAATCTTGTGGTCAGAACCTCAGCAATATCAATTATTCAAGCCCAAGTTTAGGAGAGTCACTTTGAGTCTTCTGAACTTCCCTGATGCTTGCTAGTTGAGGCCACAGCTTCATTGAACCTGGTCTTACTGACTCTGGAAGACAGTAGGCTGAATTAGGAAGCTCATTGGTGTTACTAGCTCAGATAGACCAGCATTCAAATCTTAGTGTGCCTCTTACCTGTGAGACCTCGACTGAGTGACTGGACCGCCCTGGAACCTCATCTTCCTCGCCTACATATGGAAATTTTGCTACTGTCCTGAAAGTTGTGGCTAGCATGTGCATGGAGTAGGTACCTGTAGCACTTTGTCTCTAATTCAGAGGAGCCCACCAGTAAATGGCCCCAGGTTATAAGGTTTTAACTGCTGCACCATGGCATGGAATTATGTGCATTTTACAGGGTGACTTTATAAGCAAACCTCCTGTGCTCATGGCGCTCTCTGGTGTGATCTTACCAGGTGCCACCTCAGAATCAGGGAAAGAGTGGCAAGGCTTGAACACATCTAAGTGAACTCATTTACTCTTGAGGCTCAGGTTGCCTAGTTCTTCAACGTTAGCAAATCCCTGCCTTCTGTTCTCTTGGGGAGAGATGGGAAGGAGGCAGTCAGGGTCCTTTTGGCTTTCCCTCTCTCTTGCCCTTAAAGAAACAGAACAAAGCAAAACCTCCCCAAGTAGATGGCAGACATGATACCATGCTCAGTATGACTCTAATCGAATGATATCTGGCTTGAATTTAACATTATAAATAAATTACTAAGCCACACCAGAAGTGAAACATACAGACATTGTCATAATGGCTTACTATCATAGACTAGTAAGCAGTTCTTGGACCACACTTTGACAACATCAGTCTTTGCTAACATATTGAGAGCACTACTAAAATCTCCCAACTGTTTTCTTAGTTCAGGACCTTACCCTGTATGTGCAAATCACGCATAGCACTAGCTCAAGATTTTGTGGGATGGAAAATCCAGTAATGGTTTGTAGGTAGTAGAAAGATGTCCTTAGTCTTATAGTTTTTGGATTAAATAAATACCTTAAATTTAGTTCTTTAAAGTTTTTTGTCTTCTTCTGGGTAACTTGGGAACAATTAAGATGTAGGATACTAGCAAGTGTTTATTAAAACTTTGGGACTAAATTATATGAACAACAGAAGCACCATCAGTATACCTCTTGGCCCCTGTCTCAGTGCTCTCCCCTGTCCTGTTCTGCCATGTTTTCCTTGGGGTTGTCTCCACATAGATATACACCATGTTTTACCTTTCATTGGGGTCAGTCAGCTTGTATAGAGGGCTTGTGACATATTTTCACACCTACTGGTTTATGTAGGTTAAATTGGATTTAAGATTAAAGCAATGGTTGAGTTGTGGTTCAAGTGGTAGAGCACTTGCCTGCCTAGCAAGCATGAGGCCCTGAACTCAAACCCCAGTACTTGGACAGTCCCCAGTTGTTCAGGCCTGTGATCCTAGCTACTTGGGAGGCAGAGATCAGGAAGATCAGGGTCTGAAGCCAGCCCCAGCAAATAGTTCACAAAACCCTCTCTGGAAAAAACTCAACACAAAATAGAGCTAGCAGCGTGGCTCAAATGGTGGAGTGTCTGCTTAGCAAGTGTGAGGCCCTGAGTTCAAATCACAGAATCTCCAAATCCCAGTACCACAAAAAAAGTAAGTAAATTAATAAAAGATCAAACAATGTCTTACAGCCATAGCTTGTAGGAGAATATGAGAAGGAGCCAAATGGCTGTCCTTGAGGAGGGTACTTCCTGTCCTCTTCTACTGTGCCCTGATCACCACCCACTTTGAGCTGGACTCCAGAAACACTTAGAATAGATTCCATTATCACTGGGGAAAGATTTCTGATGGAAGTGACAGAAATTCCAAGGCATGAGGGGGTGAGGGTAGGAGTACAAGACTCAAAGAGAGTGTTTAACAATTCCTAAAAGTGAAAAGGTAGGAAACACACAAACCTTTCCTTTTGCAGTCCAGCGTTTGTATGGGAAACACGTAATTGTGACACAGAGTGGAGTCGGCCTCAGGCCTGATGACCGGGGGTCTCCCTGACACTTGGGGTCTCGGGTCCAGTTGCTCCTTTTCTTCTTCACTGCATAGCTCTTCAGATTTTAGCTGCAGCAGTTTTTTGTTTTTTAGCTTTGAGGGGCGTTCGCACTTGGCGTAGTTCCCCAAATTTCGGTTCCTTGGAATCTGCAGCATTGAAACGAGCGTCTCTATCTCGCACGTGCAGCGCCAGGGGTTGTCGTAGAGTCGCAGGTAGCTCAGCAAGGGCGTGTAAATGAACACCTCCTCCGTCAGGACTTTGATCTGGTTGTGCTGCAGCAGAAGGGTGGTGAGCTTGTTCAAGCCAAAGAACGCCTCGCTCTCGATTTTGGAGATCTCGTTCTGCTGCAGATCCAGGCTCTTGAGCTTGGTGAACTTGGAAAACATGTTGTTCTTTAATACGCGGATCTTGTTTCTGGCTAGCAGCATGTGCAACAGATCTTGAGGCCAGTCAGGTAACACATAGACTAGTTTTCTTTCTTGACAATCTAAGTACTTCTCGTGAAGATAGGTGTACACGTCGCAGGGGAGGCCTGGGGCGTAGCGTTTGACCGGATTGGAGCCTCTCCGGCCCCCACCTGCCGGGCCATGGCGCTGATGAGCTCGGCTTCTCAGGCCCCCAGGGCTTGCCTTGCGCGACTCAGCAGCCTGGCAGAAGCAGAGCAGGATGAGGACGGTGATTACGCGCATCCTGACATCCAGCTGGCCCCGGTTCCTTGGTGGGAGGGATGGACGAAGAAAGTATTCCTTTGAAATCCAACTTTGAGTAAAATTAACTAAAGCGGTTCAGGAACAGGAAGACCCAGCTGGGGTATGTGGGTTGGAATAGGAAAAAAAAATAAGTTAAAATTAAAGGACGAAAACTAGATTAAAAAAAAAAAAGAAGACAAAGTAGAAGGGAGAAAGGGTACTATTTGGGAAGAGAAAGGGGACTGGTGAGGGAGGGAGAGGGACGAGAGAGGGCAATGAGGATGGATGTGATCAAAGCGCATTTTATATGTACAGATACATACATGATAGCGACTTACATTAAGACCCTTCGCAAATTGCAAGCACTGTATGTGACAGAAACAGCAACCTTTTTTTTCCTTTTAAAAGGAAAGTCTGGCAGAACCATAGTGTGGAGGGCTCCACCCACTTACTTGTCTGGGTTAATGATCAAATATTTGGGCTCTGAGTTTGAGTCCTACTTGCTTGATTGTGTGACCCAGGTTAGTTACTTAACCTCTTCTTCAGCAGCCCTAAAATGGGACCAAGGATGTCTCCTAGTTTGGTGGGAGGATGAAAGGGGCTCATGCATGTAAGACACTTAGTGTCTCCTGGGGGAAGTGCTCCACAAACCTAGGACTCAGCAGGATGAAGCCTGCAGTTACACCCCAGTTGGGTTTAAGAAATGAAAGTAATCCTTTTTCAGCTCTGATGTGTACAAACAAGAGTAGGACTCAAATGGCTGCCTTGAGCTTAATTTTTTTCTTTCCTTGACTGTCTTCTAAATCACCAATCACGATGAATGTGGGCTCCAGAAATGCTCAGAGTAAATGCACTGCCCTCATCATCTTCTGCACACCTGGTGTCATCTTCTGCACACCTGGTGTCATAGGGTGTTGCCTTCTTTGTTGTATTATTTAAAGTCTCACCTCCTCCCCTGTGGCCAGGCACTCCCAGATTACCTTTCTTGCTTTATTTTTCTTCATACTGCTTATGAGCATCTGTCAAAGTAGATATTTTACTTCCTTTGTTGACTCCTCTAACTAGAAAATAAACTCCCTAAGGGCAAGAGTTTTTTTGGGTTTTGCTCACCACTATATTTCCTTGATAAATGATTTTAAGTTACTTTCACAATTCTTATTTACAAAAACATTTATCTCATAAACTAACTTATATTGTTTTGGGAATCTATTTTTTTACCTTAAGTATTACTGGTGACATCTAAGACCTGTACATTTTAAAGAATTTTTTCCATTTTTAAAAATAATTCTGAAAATATTTCTGGTTTGCATCTTCACTTAGGACACAGTTCACTCTTGACAAAGGAAGAAAAGTTTAAAATGGGTTTATAACTAGTAATACGTCTGTTGTTATTAGCGTGGGGCTATGTGATGAACGGCAGACGTGCTTTCTATTCATGGGAGTAGTTTGAATGTCAGGACCCCCCTTGCCTGGAGTTTTCCCTTCCTGGAGTCTCCTCTTCTTGCCCTCAAGGAGTCCCCTCATTCGCAGTCCTCCCCGAGCTGTTGTCGGGTGGATGGTATAACGCTGTGCCATCTAGCTATTGTGTACCCATCTCACGTTTCCTGAGAGAGCATGGAATGTGGCCCTGGATCCCAGAACTACTGAGGCACTTAGCCTTTTCCACCCTCTACTTCCCTATCTGTACGTCATTGTAAATGTAGGTAAATCTAATCTAAAAATTCGTAGTAAGTAGTTTGTTTATTGTGCATGCTGAAGTATTTGAGAAAAAGTGTGTCTGGATCTGCAACATACCTTGAAATGCATTAAAAATGAGATAATGGGTGGATATGTTATAAAGCAGATACTGTAAATTACAAATTCTATGAACTATAATCTAGGTGGTAGAGGTATAGGTATTCATTGTGCAGTTCTCTCAATTTTTGTGTGTGCTTTAATTTTCATATTAAAATAAAAAATGAGTAAAGAGGCATGTACAGAAAAAGCAGCCTTGTTTTCTTCCAGTGCTTTCAAGCTAAAAGCTCTAAGTATATAGTATTTTCCCAAAGTAGTAGTTTTCTCTTTTCCCTTCTTTCTATAATCCTCAAACAATAACAAACATGTGTTTATATTTTATTTTTGAAGCCAAAAGAAATCATTTTCATGGGAAGAGAAACCCATATGCTTAGAATACATTACCGGCAAAAGTTTCTGTTTACTTTCTAATGAATATGTCTCATTGAATGTAGGATGGAAAACTGTAAACATTTGTAATATGTTGTTTAGTGATGTGCAACTTGTTTGGTTTAGGCCACTGTAAAAACTTACAAGAGTTGAATGTCTCTGACTGCCCATCACTCACGGTGAGTATAAGCAGCTTCTGTTACTGTTGTTTATATAGATCCAGACATCTTACACTGGAGAGCCAATATGCAGAGTACATTCCTGTATTCACACTTGGGATTGAATGTTCGAAAAA